AGATTTCTCCCTGGATGTACGAACTACGCGACGAGCACGGCAATTCCAAAGGCAACTGGCACACCAAGGACCTGAAACCCACTAAAGACGATGATTGATGTCTGTGTCATTGGCCCTGCAGTGAGGGGCCTAAGAATACTCCTGCCAGGGTGTGACCAGCTGTTGGGTAAAAGTCCCATGACTGGGCACTTTAGGAACCATTCCAACGGGTATTCCTATGTTTCCAGGCATACCTACCATTTTCTGAAACTATTATGTTTTCTCTCTATGAGTACTTGGAACTGTTCCTGAAGGAATATTTTGTACGGGTTTATTTGGGTTTATCATGGTGGTCCTTAGGTTGTTCCAGTACTGTCTGGGTGAGGTCGTGCTCGAGTATCTTGGAGGCCTTTTGACTAGTAGGTCTTGACATCTTACTGGTGTTCCTCAAGTTAGAGAGTTTAGAGTGTTCTTGTAAATATTGTGTACTTACTGTAAATAGAAAATTGTTGCCCCTACAACTGGTGACTGTATATATTATGTATATATGTACAGATATGTCCTTTTTTTTTTCTCTCATCACTCCTCTCTGCTAGGTGGAACAGATTTATGGCGGAATGGAACCATTAGTCAAGCACCGGATGTAGTTGGCACTGAATAACTACTTATTTTCAACACTTGTCGGTCTCATATGGTTGGTACTTGTCGGTATGGTAATGTTGACCTCTGAGGGAAAAGGTTTCAGAACACTGGTAATGTCTTGGAAAGACTATATAGGGAAGTCCACATTCGTTAGGTATTATATATACCTCTTAACCCATTTTTGTTGATATTTTTTTTTGGTAGGGAGCCGTGGGGGTTACAGGTGCGTAGTGGTTTCACAATGACTGCCTTCAATGGCGAGGTTATCAGCACGCATGGTCGTTCATAAGGGGGGTAGGATGTTGGCCCGGCAGAGTGTGCCTACGGGCTGCTGTCAACAGTGCTGGTGTCCTACTACTACGTTCCATGTCAACTGCTGTTCAACTGTCATTGTGAGGGGTAATACGCAGTGTTTCGTTCATGGGGTACTCCCGAATACATTTTGTTTATGCTTGGGTTTGGTCTTAGACCGTTTCACTAGGGCTTTTGGTGGTCCTTGAGTTCGCTCTAAATCAAAATTTATATATCACTTTTCGGCATAACCAACGGTATTTGTTGCAGCATGGACGGGGAGTGTGCACGGCTCGTTTGGGGTAGGTGCTTCAATGTACGGTTTGGATGTCTGGATGTTGGTTCTATTCCAAAGGTTAGACTACGACGCGGGCAACATCTTCGCGAGGTCCCCTTTGAGACCTGTTGCAGTTCCTTCTCTCGGAGTGCCGTGTTCACTCCACTGTCGGTGATGTAATGAATGCTGCTTAAGTTTGATTGCGGATTTTTTTTTAAATTATAATTATTAGCTCAGGATGGATGGTTGTCTCCTGGCTTTGCCAATATTTTTGTTTTGTAGGGAGCCGTGGGTGCTATGGGTGCATAGTGGTTCCATAGTGACTACCTTCAATGGTAGAGTTATCAGCACGCATCGTCGTTTCTAAGGGGGGTAGGATGTCGGCCCGGCAGAATGTGCCTACGGGCTGCTGTCAACAGTGCTGGTGTCCTACTACTACGTTCGATGTTAACTGCTGTTCAACTGTCATTATGGGGGGTAATATGCAGTGTCTCATTCATGGGGTACTCCCGAATATCGTCGATTGGCTCTGGTTCTACCATATTAGGTAGAATCATTTCACTAGGGCTTGTTGGTAGTCCTTGAGTTCGCTCAAAATCAAAATTTGTTTTCAACTTCTTTCGGCTCAACCAACAAAGTCTCTGATGCTGCATCGATGGGGAAGTGCCTCCGGTTCTTCCGGGTGGGGGTTCAAGGTATGGTTGGTTGTGATCCAAAGGGTCGACTGCGGCGCGTGCAACATCTTCGCGAAGTGCCCTTTGAGACCTTCTGCGAGACATCGACTCGGGGGAGTTGGGGTCAGTTCGCTGGTCGTGTAGCTGTCAGGACTTTTGGTAAATACAAATCTTGTTGATATATGTTCCTGTACTCAGGGGGTTGACATATCTAACATTAAATTTTATATTAGCATCTAGATAGCGTGGCTTAACTTGCAAATTTGCTCATCATAAGTTCGGTTCCTTTTTTTTTGAAATTTGCAGGCAAATTTCTTCAAGTAGGGGGGGGATTGTTACGGTTTATTTGCAGCTTAGCGCCCATAGTTCGCCGGCAACGCGGCGATATTCATTTGAGTCTTATTTCTCGACCTATTTGGCCGTCGAACGGCTATTCGACACCAACCTGGGCAAACGTCACACGAATCATCATGAATAGTGGGGAAGCGATCTACCGAGAGTGTAGTCTATCAACTGCGTCATCGAACCGAAACCAGAACTTAAATTGATGAATCTGCTAACAGCGAGGACCCCGCATACTTTATGAACAAATACAAGCGAATTCTCATGCAATAAATAGAGGGAATGATAGCAAATTTGTAAGCGTATAGGTTGGGGCCGAGGAGTGGTCTTGGACTATTGGTACGAGTGCAGCATTCAGTTGAATGTACCTTGTCGATAACTGTCGGGAGAAGTGAAGTTGACATTGAGAATTTGACAGATTTGACAAAGACACTTTGTCACTGGTCACTGGGTCACTTCCTTCTTCCTTCGGGCATTTTTGGCACGACATGCTGACGGTGTCGTATGGTATATATATTGGTAGATATTCATGAATATTCTATTCATCCATTTATGGGTTATATTCTGCTAATATGAAATTTATATTTTGAAAGGTATTGGGTTTTGTGATTAGCATATTTTGAGTACGTTTTCAAAATTACTTCCGTGTTCGGGATTTCAATACTTGTGTACACCAAAGCAACTTCGTTATAAAGGTATGTTCCACAATTCAGAAAATGTGAATTATCAGCATAGTCCAAGATCACCTCTTCTGTCCACAGCCAGCTATCAAGAACGATCAGTTGAACCATACATAACCTAACCTCTCATCTCAACTCAAGGGAGCCCCAGGGCTGATTTAGGAAACCTGAGATACCTTGTGTGATATTATTTGTAGGTTATAGAGGAAACAAGCCCCACTGACACTCGGGTAAGTGTGTCCTACACATCTTATTTACTAGTAATCTATCAGCATTATTGTCTGTGCAATCTGACCTTTGAGGGGGCTGAAATCTTTAGTTTGAAGTTAATTCTTAGAGCTCTAGTGAGACAGAGTGGTCTCTTGATATTTATGGGGAACCTACATCACTTTTAAGGGACATAGTGTAGTGTGTGAGATAGTCTATACCACCTCAGGTTTTCAAGCTGGATTTTAATAATGTCACTTTCATGTTCATCGAAATGATACAGCCTTTGTCTGAGTCTATATCACTTAAGTTTTCAAGCTGGATTTTAATAATGTCACTTTCATGTTCATCGAAATGATACAGCCTTTGTCTGAGTCTATATCACTTAAGTTTTCAAGCTGGATTTTAATAATGTCACTTTCATGTTCATCGAAATGATACAGCCTTTGTCTGAGTCTATATCACCTAAGTTTTCAAGCTGGATTTTAATAATGTCAGTTTCAAATTGATCGAAATTACTTTACCATTTTCTGGGACTATACAGGGTGTCACCACTTAAAGTTTTTAAACAGTGTAATGACAAAGGGCCTTTCCTACTCAACAAGAATTGCAATACATTTTTGGAAATAGACAACTATACAGGGTGGGACAACCTAAAGTTTCCAAGCAGAATCTTACTAATCTTTCTAAAATGAGTTCATTGAGATTAATTAAGTTATATATTTGAAATGTTGAGATTGGTTGAGTTGGTTATGGGTTATACAGGGTGAAATCATAAAAAGTGAACAAAAGGGTTGTAAATGTTCTGTTCGAGATTACAGATTGATATTTGATGATATCATAGTTCAATTTCAATTTAATGGGGTTTTAATAGTTTTTTTTAATTACAACCTGAGTACAGAAATATTGTCAAACAAGTAAGGAATAGCGTGTAATTTAGCTTATTCCTTCACAGGGTTTTTCCTTTTGGTATAAGTCTGCTCATATTTCTCGTCGTGCTTGGTACTAAATCTGGAGGCTTAGGATTCCTGGTTGTTCGGCCCAGGTCTAACACTGCTGAATTCGAACCAGCATTAGCCGAACTTTGACTGCAGATACCATCATCTGCTAGTCGCAGACATTATCAACACTTCGAGCAGTCTGCAGTCTACAGTCTGACATCTGACTTGCAGGCTCAAGTCTTCGTCGTGGGATTGCACGTAAGTTTTACTAGGAAACTTATATTTAACTTTGAACTTTTATCACTGGGAATTTATCTTGAAATTTGATTTAATATTATGATATAATTCGTTGCGTCATTACTTTATATCGATTGTTCTTCTGATTCCACACACCTCATTTTACTTTTCGAATATTTAGGGAAACCCAGCGCTTATGCATAAGGCTTGGTAAGCCAATTTACCCATATTACATAGGTTGTACTTAATTTGAGACTGTGGGGTCATAGAATATTATTTGATTCCATCTATTTACCATTTCATGTATAATCATCTATTCACACTAAAGGCCTAAGTATTTTTGAGTTGACACTGTGAGATTTTGTACATTTGTTATTAATTATTAATATTTGATGCAATTAAACTGAAGTTGTTATTGTTATACCGAGTTAATTATTTCCTTTGATTTTCATCAACTTATTTTGGTAAATTTGGTGAGTTGATTAGCAACTAAGGGTGTTTGCCAGGGGTAAATTTATCTGGCGCCCATTTCACTATGAGAATTCATTTTTAACGATTTTTCTTCATATCGAACCCCCCCATCTCCACTGTAGCGAGCGGCAAACTACCCGTCTGTCATTCTGACAGCCGGTTTATGCGACTTTAAGGTTTTAGAGCGTTGAGGTAGGTCGCAATAAAAATCAAAAATATCACTGACTCTAGTAATACCATTAAAGAATTACGGAAAGAGATTGATACCAAACAAACTGAAGGAGGATTCAAAAATATCAAAGGAATGAGAAATGGTGCCGTCATAGTTGAAAGCCATAACAGAAGCCAACAAGAAAAATTAAAAGCAGAATTGAAAAACAAAAGTCATATAACAGTGAAAGAAACCCAAAATTTGGAGCCCATGTTCTTAATCACAGGTATAGAAAAAGGGTTTGAAGATGAAGAATTGATCAAAGAACTAGTCCGTCTCAATAGTGAGATAGAGCAAGAGCTTGGACAGGACATCCAGCAAGATATAAAAGTTATAGCGAGAAGACAGTGTCGAAACCCAATTAAAGAAAATGTGGTACTCCAAGCACCTGCACCTATATCAAAATGGTTTTTGAAAAAACAACTTGTTGATTTTGACCTAGTGAAAATTCATGTTCAGGAGCATTTTAACTTAGCAGTTTGTTTTAAATGCTGTGGTTTTGGACATGTTGCAAAGTATTGTTCAGCTAACGCATGTTGTCATAAATGCGGAGGAGGACATGCTGGGAAGGATTGTACTGAGAATGAGTGGAAATGTCCTAACTGCGAGAAGATGAAATTTGGGGTAGCACAACACTCAGCAAGAGACATTAATTGCCCTGTTTACAAAAAAAGGCTTGAAAGATTCAAACAAAACATCAACTACGAAAGTGAGACTTTTTTATGAAACAGAATAAGTTACAATTTACCGAAGATTACCAAGCTAATAACATCAATAGACTAAGATCCAATATGAAACTGCAAGAAATGAGTCTCATTCATCAGAATGTCCAGTCTCTAGGGAACAGTGTAGACAGACTTGAACATATGTTGAAAGATTATCCAGGCTGCAATTTTTTGTGCATTACAGAACACTGGAGGTCGGAATATCAGTTGAAGAAATTGAACATCAGAAACTTCAATCTAGCAAGTAGTTTTTGTAGACTTGAAGGACAGCATGGAGGAAGTGCAGTTTATGTGCGGAAAGGTATCAAATGCGTTGCGCGTGGAAAACTTGACAAGTTTTTTGTTATAGGAGAATTCGAGTGTGCTGTTGCTGAATGTACAGTTAATAAGCAACACATTATCATTGCATCAATCTACAGACCACCAAGTGGTAATATCAAGATATTTTTCAGTAAACTAGAAGGCTTACTGCCAAAACTTTCAAACAACAATAGTTTACTTTTTATCGCAGGAGACCTGAATATTGAAATGTTAAAAGAAAATAACCGAAAAGACGAACTATTTTCCCTGATGACATTTTTTGCATTAACTCCTACTATTTTTTCGAATACCAGGATAACTTCTTCTAGCCAAAGTTGTTTGGATAATATTTTCACAAACTGTCAACAATTCAAGGCTGATATCATTGACTCTCACATATCAGACCACAATGCTCAGAAAATTATTTTTAATGTATCTATAATTCGAGAAAATAAATTTGTCTACAAAAGATTCTTTACACAGCAAAATGAAAATGATTTTCTGAATGTTTTGAGCGATCAGACATGGGATAGTGTATATGAAGTTGATATTAGTGATGTAAACGGACAATGGCAAAATTTCATTTCCACATTTGTACATATTTTTGAACAACACTTTCCGTTGAAAATGACATATAATTGTAAAAGAACCAAACCAAAGCAAAATGATGAAATTTTAAAATGCAAAGAAAAGTTAGATACATTATTAGTTATATCAAGACATGATGAAAACTTCACGGCTCAGTACAAACAAACCAAACTAGAATATGACAGACTTTTAATCAAGGAAAAAGAGAATAAATATGATCTGAAAATTAAAACATCAGATAATAAGTCTAAATGTATGTGGTCAATCTGTAATGAGATACAGGGTAAAAACAATGCTATGGAAGAATGTCAAATTGATGGAGACCCTAGCACTATTGCGAATAATTTTAATCAACATTTACTAACAGTTGTACCTGATCTCCTGAAGAATCTAAATGATTCTACATTTGAATGTCATATTGTTAATAACAATCGATCAATTTTTCTGAAACCAGTAGATCCAGATGAACTTCTAGAGATCAGTGGTAAATTGAAAAACAAACTTAGTAGTGGACAGGATGAAATTCCTACAAGTATTGTCAAATTTTGTGTTGAAGAAGTGGTTGAGGTGTTATGTTATATTATCAACAATTCCTTGAAATTTGGCATATTTCCTGAACAACTCAAAACGGCTGTAATTAAGCCACTCCATAAAAAAGGTGATATATTAGATTTAAACAATTATAGACCAATAAGTTTGCTACCAAGTTTTTCTAAGCTTTTTGAATATGTTATGTGTCATCGTCTAATAACTTTCATGGATGAGTGCAGTATATTTTCCAACTCCCAGCATGGTTATATGAAAGGTAGATCCACAACTACAGCGATTTTTCAGTTCACACAATCGATTATAAACAACTTTGAGAGTAAAATACTTTCCCTAGGAATATTCTTAGATCTTTCAAAAGCCTATGACTGTTTGAACCATGATTTACTATTGTATAAATTGGAGAAATACGGTGTAAGGGGAAATGCTAAGAACTGGATAAGATCATACCTTTCAAATAGACAGCAGTGTGTACAAATTATGAAAAACAATAAATGTTTCAAGTCAGGATTTCTGCACTGTAATATTGGTGTTCCTCAAGGTAGCATATTAGGACCAATTTTATTCATATTGTTCATCAATGATATTGAATCAATAGAAAACAATTGTTCAATAACGAAGTATGCTGATGATACAAACTTATTAGTGAGTGGGTCTGATTTTTCTAGTATTTTAAGAAATTCTAGTAATGCTTTATATGTTACAGAAAACTGGTTTAATGGTAATAAATTGATATTGAATACAGAGAAGACTAAAGCAATTCTGTTTAGAACGAAACTAACTCGGTTAAATGTTCCTGATGAGATATATATAGCTGACACTTTTTCACCACTAGTGAAAACCACCAAATTATTGGGTGTGCATATAGATGAATTTCTCGATTGGAGTCCTCATATTACTGTATTATCTTCAAAACTAAGTGGAATTAGTTATGGTATACGTACTGTATCTAAATACATGAAGATAGGAACTCTTAAAATACTGTACCACGCAAATTTCGAATCAGTAGCTAGATATGGCATAATATTTTGGGGAAACAATGCTGATATACAGAAGATTTTCATAATTCAAAAGCGCTGTATTCGTATAATGAATAAAATGAAATTCGATGATTCTTGCAGGAGCATTTTTAAATCACTGAACATCATGACCATATATGCCGTGTATATTTATGACTGTCTCATGTTCATATTTAAGAATAGGGACAAATTTAATTTTCAATCTGAACGCAATTATAATACAAGAAATCAAAATGTTATATATCCTATCCACCGGTTGACAGCAACTGAAAAGAGTCCACATTACATGTGCATAAAGTTATTTAATAAGTTACCAAATCATATAAGAAATATCTCAAGTATTAGGAAATTTAAAAAACTTATCAAAAATTCATTATTAGAAATAGAACCATATAGTGTTAGTGAATATTTGAACTATCTTTTCTGAGATGTTACGTATATATGTTTATGTACCTATCTTAGTTTGATGTTTTTTTTTTGTTCTGACGTCATTTCATTTCATGTATCAACATAATTTGAAATAAAGAAAATTTATTATTATTATTATTATTATTATCGATTGGAGCGCACGAAAGGGAATCCCTATAATGTTCAAAGAACATCGTGCGTTCCTAGGGAGGATAGTGACAGGATGTAGGTATTATTTTTATATTGTAAAACTGATTGAGTGAATAATTTTTTGTCTCTCGAAATATAAAGTGCTTTTTTAAAAAGCCTTTTCGGGAAAGTAAAAACATAAAGATCGCCTTGATCGCCGCCTGGCTGTGATAGCCCCTCTCGATATTCCCTCGAACACATGCAAATATTGCGAATACTTCAGCCAGAAAAATCGTGGCATGTTTCCCATGAGTAAAGTAATGATATGCCCTTGGAGACTGCCCATAGACCCCAGCCATGTGTATACCAGATGATACTCTTGGTAGGTATTATGCAGTGTCTATTTTGTTCCCAGTCTATCCTAGTAGGAATTTTGACTTGGGGCATTGTCCTGAATCGAATGATCGGTGTTATGCTGTCCCTTTTCATACTGAGTGAGGGGCAGTCACCTGTAATTTGCTTCCAGAAGCGAGAATATCCGTAGCGAACGGCGGCCTTCATCGCCTCGTGTTCTATATACAAATTCAGGGGTGGCAGTCCGGTCAGTCTCCAGCGCCCTTCTTGGCGCCGTCCTCATTGCTCCCGTTATGGAAATGCTGGCCAGTCGCGAACGGCGGCCCTCATCGCCTCGTGTTCTATATACAAATTCAGAGGTGGCAGTCCGGTCAGAGTCTTCAGCGCCCTTCTCGGCACCGTCCTCATTGTTCCTGTTATGGATATGCTGGCCAGTCGTTGAACTCTGTCGAGCCGACTCCTCGACTTGCCTATAAGCGTCCCCGGCCACCATACGATGGACCCATATGTTTACATCCAGTAAAGAATACTTGGCTTGAGCCCCCACGTTACCCCAAACGTCCTCCTGCACGCCCAGAACGCTGCCGTAGCCTTCTGGACCTTCCTCTCAATATGCTCGTTCCAATTGAGCCTAGAGTCAAGAATGACTCCTAGATATTTGGTGAAGCCTTGGCCATTAAAGTAGGATGATAATCAGGAATGAAGCTTGAGAATAATAGGAAAAACAATATCAATATTGATACACAAATAACATCCATATCATATTTTGATACGATTCTGTATATTCTGAGATTATGTCAAATTGAATGTTCATGGAATATTTGTTGCCAGGATTGAAATAATCTATGATCATTCTGAGAACATCTATCAGAATATTCTGAAATGAATACGAACGTTCTGAACGTTGTCAGAGTATTGGTAAAATATTTTGTGCTGTTTGAAATTTTATTTCGGATTATGGACGACACGCTTGATGATGGTTATTTTCAATTAGAATGAATAATACACCTATATGTCGTTGCTTCTGTTCTGAGAAAAATAGGACATAGTTTGTAATAATAGAATGAAAAGACACTGCAACTGCGGATGTGAACAAGAAGAACAAAGTAAGAAATACAGAATTCATAGTATTTTGACGTAAGCATGAGACGTTGTGGTGTGACAAACAAAAAAATGACACAGCTGAACAAAAACAGTATTTCCAATATCCTTGAAAGACCTCTTCAAAAAGTGCATATTACGTCTCAAAAAAACATCATCATGCAAACATTTTCGGAACATCCCAAAAAATCTCTAGATTACTTCTCCAGTAGGCAAACAGAGAAATGCTACAAAATATCAAAAACAATACATTCAATATCCTTTCGAGACATCTTTGGGAATGCATATCACGTCTCAAAAAAAAAACATCCTTAGGCCGAAATTCTTGAAACATCACCAGAACATCTGTAACAAGAACTTTTGGGTTCTTGATAGTTAACACTCTGTATTGTTATATCTACCTTTTTACTTTTCCCATATTATAAGAACAATCTTCATAATTGGATGACAACGGGGTATTTCCTCATACTGGTGGAAAATATATTTTGTTTTTGGTTGGCTGTTGATCGTATATTCTCTCAGTACGTTCTAGGAGGTCAACTGTGTCAACTATTCT